AACATGTTGGAGAGTTGTCCGCGTGTCCCCAAATGTTGACCGCGTGTTGGACGCGTGTTGGAGCGTGTCCGTGTCGGACACGTGTCCGACACGCACAATTCAACAAAATTGACGAGTCCGTGTATCGGAGAGAAGAACTCATTGATCGCATTAGTTTATATTTTCGGTACAACTGATAGAAGTAGGTACTCTATTACTAAAAAAATATAAAGAATCAATTTAATTCAAAAATTTAAATTACTAAGTGATATTACATTTAATGATTTTTTATTTTTCTAATATGTCTCCTCATATGATAGTTCATTGGCTTTGATTGGTGGATAATGCATCAGACTTAATTTACCTGAGCTAAAAAACTCCACAATATTTAATTATTAGAATGAGCAGTGAGGACTGAACCTGTAATACCAAGACTCTAATACTATGTAAAGAATTAATTCAATCCAAAAGCTTAAGCTGTTGGTGAGGTTACATTTAAAGATTTTATATTTCTCTAATAGGGGGAGGAATAGGGATATGGAAGGAAATAACCATAAAAGTAAGGATAGTTTAAATATGTTACTTTTTTTTTAAATTAGATAAAAGATGTACCTAATGATTGGTACATCCACTGAAAATAATTTTTGTTGGTTGTGATGAATAGAGAGGACGAGGGCAAAAAAAATTAATTTATTTCTTTTTTAATAAAAAATTACGAAAAAGTAGTCGTTTTGAAATTAATTACAAAAATATTGCACTTAAACACGCCCACATAAGGCGTGTTCCAATGCAGAAAGATACGCCCATGTGGGCGTGACCTAAAAGAGAGACACGCCCACATTGAACGTGACCAGTAGAGAGACACGCCCAACAAGGGCGTGACCTCCCTGGTCAGAGAATAGCAACAACAAAAAATTAAGATGGTGATGGTGTTGTGACGACAAGGATGGAGGACATGCATTGGATTTGGATGTACCGCAAGGTTTTTTCTTTCTGTTAGAAAGCAAAGTGGAACAACTTCAATAAATCTTAGATTCCCTAAATAGAGGGAAAATGAAAGGAGATTTGATTTCTCCATTTCACTGCTTCTCTTCCTATCCCAAACTTTCACCAAACAGGGCTAAAAAGATCCCTTTTTAATCCTCACATTGTGGGGCAAACGGGTTGAAGATGGGAGCTCTTTTGTTCCCGGGTACATTAGCTTCCTTCAGATTATAGATAAGCTTACAAAACAAAAGGGTAAAACAAGGTTAAAATGGCTTAAAAACTATTTCATCCATAACAATTCCAAAACCTGACGAGACAAAGCAATTTTAATTCATTATCACATACTTTTGAGAATATTAATCATTTAAGATTTTCACCCTTAAAGTTTAAGCAAGTAACAGACAATGCTTTAGTAGTGTTAATTATTCATCGCCCTCTTCCCCACCAGGAGGAGAAAGATGGGATACTCAAAGCCCCAGGTGGTTTCAGCCAATGGTCTCTACTTTCTATCTTCTCCATCGCCGGCATGCCTTCTCCATCAGAAGCAATAAAGAATTAAGAATTCACAAATAATTCAATTTTGAACACTTCCTGAACCCGTCGAAGTTACGCAGTTTTTACTGTACAAACAGCTTTTACTGAGCAATTTGTACAGATAAGACTTGTATCAAGAGAGGTCACGCCCCATGTGGGCGTGTCTCTCTCTTAGGTCATGCCTCACATGTGCGTGTCTCTTTTGGACGTCTCTCTTTCCTGGTCACGCCTCATGTGGGCGTGTCTCTCTTTTAGGGCACGTCCCACATGGGCGTGTCTCTCTCGTAGAACACGTCCCATGTGGGCGTATTTGAGTGCTATATTTTTGTAATTAATTTCAAAAAGACTACTTTTTCATAATTTTTTTATTAAAAAAGCAATAAATTAATTTTTTTGCTAGAGGACGAGATCCTTTGGTCAACAAATGTGTCCAATATTGCATTTAATACAATAACTTGAATTCTCAATACTGACAATCTTGTGTTCCAAGAAACCACTTCACGAAGCATGTTAGGAATATTGACCATTGTGCCACCTTTTTAAATAAAAAATGTCGAAATGTCACGGGGTCAGAAAATTTGCCAAAATGTCATGGCACCAAATTTGTTACAACTGCCGGTGAGTTTGGTTATGGCATGTTTGCTGAGGCCACCAAACTCGCTACTGGTTATAGCAAATTAAGTGATCAAATCGGCCAATCTGATTTCTTCTTGGGCTTGCAGTTTCTTATGTTGCAAGAGAAATGCAAGTTTTCCTACAGAGAGAGAAAGAGGTGGGGCCCACCTTAAAAAAAAAAAGTGATTGGCACAGACATCGAAGTGAGAGTGATAGGAGAGGAGACTTCTCATGCAACATGAGAAGTCTTTTTCCCTTTCTTCTTTTCAGTTACACATGAAAAAGAGAGATAAACTCATTGCAGGTGTAGCGAGTAAAGTCTAACTAGTGACTCTTCATGATTTTTCAATGACATGCTTTTGACTGCCATTTTTCAACTACTTTTTTGCTGAATCAGGATTTGAATCTCTGTGGTGGTTGAGTGACTCCTCGTTTTGGTTATTGCGTCCTTGGGATTCACTTTCCTTTGGATGTAATGTCTTATGTTGCATCGACATCGATACCGATATCGATACCGACACGATACACCAATACATTAATTTTTAAAAATGTTAGATTTTGACATGTTAGGACAAGTTTTGATATTAAATAATAGTTTTAATATAATATAGTTTATATTTAATACATATAACAATTCATAATAATTCATATAAACAATCTAATATTAAAATTTCTTAACATAAATATAAAGAAAAAATAGTTTTTTATGTCAAATTCTATAACAGAAAATATTTGATTTATAAATTAATTTTTTCATGTAGTTAAAAAGATAAAAAAAAAATTGGATCTAAAAAAATTGTGTTGAAAAACGTTGACCTCGTGTCAGAAAATGTTAACTGCGTGATGAAACGTGTCGATGTCCAACATGTGTCCGACATGCATTTTTTCTACAAAAGAACTTGTCCGTGCATCAGATACCTATGTAGTTGTGCATCTATTGTAATGTCTTTCTCTCTATAATTGGTTAATGGAGCGAGAAACAAGGTTTTTATTTTTTAAGTATTTTATTTTATTTTCTTTTTTTTGAAATGGTGAATTGTTTTTGGCAAAATTGAAAGGAATTAATATTTCTCATATTGTAGAAAATAATCATATCTCCAGCATATATATAAAAGTTGTTGGGCCGTGCACAGGGAGCTCATGACGGGGGAGCGACCGCCAACCATGAGTCAAGTGAGCAGCAACATTAAGTGGGCTCGAAAAATCACAATCAAACTCAAAATCTTAAGGCATTAGGTGCACGAGTCCTTCCATTTATTCAGTGCTCGCTTAGTCTTTTTTCACTGTTGTGTCTCAGAGCCCGACAATTTTCAGCCCGGCCTCAGATTCAATTATCCCGGCTTTCACTAGTCAGCTTGCAAAAGCGATAGTAAAATAACAACAAATCAAAAATAGAGATAGGGAGAAAAAGAACACCAAGAATTTTAACATGGTTTTTACTCTTCACATTGAAGAGGTTTTCCACATTAAAATTCTTGGTGTTCTTTTCCTCCCTACCTCTATTTTTAATTTGTTGTTATTGTTCACTGTCGCATCCGCAAGCCGACGAGTGAAGGCTGGGCTAATTGAATCTAAGGCTGGGATGAAATTGTCGGGCTCTGAGACACAATAATGGTATCAGAGCCTGGTTGAGCTCGAGCTAGCCTAGTGATTGGCTAGGAGACAGTTGAGTATTTGGACCTAGGTACTCAGTTGAGGGAGAACATACCAACGATGAATTTTACACTTAAGGGAGAGATTGTTGAAATATTCACGTGCGGTGAGTCCCACATTGATTATTAATGGGCTAAATCAAATGTATATAAGTGAGAGGACCCATAAACCTAATGCATTAAGGTTTTTGGTTGAGATAAGATGTCAGACCCACTGGCTACGTTCGATATAGCCTTAGTCTATTGGTAATGGTCCCTCGCCACTGGCTTCTTCCTGAACCCACCTGACAAAAGTAGATGGGGCCTATAGGAGCCATGTAAAGAGAAGAGGAAAAAAAATGAAGCTTATATACTTTTATATATGTATAGAAAATACAATTATCTCATAAACGAAAAACAATGGGAATTTTTTCATCAATATTTTATCTTCAACTAAACATACAGTCTTAAAATTTTACCTAATTTTTTCGGTAATATTTCGGCCTACTAAATAATTTTTTTTAAATTTTTCTACCAAACTTGTTTTTCCATCATATTCTTAGTAATTATATATCTCTGGTAATTTTTTTTTTCTCTTCTACCAAACGCTCCGTATTTCATTTATCATTTGCCCAACAATTTGGCATTGTAAACAACACCATGACAAATAATTAATACTTCGTCATATATAAAAGAGGAAAATGACTTTCATATATCATACATGATAGCGTCTCTCATATTGTAGACATAAAACATATGCGACCCATCTATTTTTTCTTTTTCTTTTTTAAAAACTCAAGGCACATCTTTTAACGACTATATAAGTATAAGCGATATGTTTTTTCTCAAGTAAAAGAAGTTTTGATCCTAGACCTGTCCCGAATCGGATTAGTTACGAAGCAATGAACTGATTGGAATATTAAAAAAAAAAAAAGAAGAAGAAGTTGGGATCCTTTAAAAATATATGTTATGAAATTAACAATCAAACCACTGCTTTTGACACTTCATGGAATATTAAAAAAATTGAGAAGTGCTCATTGTTGATGAATGTTGAATAAGTCTTTATACATATTATGGAATTAACAATCAAAACATTGCTTCTGACATTTTATGCAATATTAAAAAATTGGCAAGACTCTTTGTTGATGAATTTCAAATACCCACAAATAAAATCGAAGCAAAAATGGTATTCATCTGATTGTTCACAGCATCCAAAATCTCCAATCCAGAACCCAATAACTCATTCATCTCATTATGGGGTTCAGATTCAGTCAGTTTAGACACTTAACCTTTTTGCTAGTACTTTCCTTTTTGTCCATACACATTGGCACTTCCCTAGACACCATCTCATCATCCAATTTCCTGAAGGACCCTGAAACTTTAAGCTCCAGTGAAGGTTTGTTCCAGCTTGGATTCTTCACCCCTCCAAACTCAACTTTTTCCTACCTGGGAATTTGGTATTCTGTGTCTAGAACCCCGCAGATATGGGTAGCTAACAGAGACCAACCAGTGAAGGATTCTTCTGGAACAGTCAAAATATCTGAGGATGGAAATCTTGTTGTGATGAACGGACAGAAAGAGATCCTTTGGTCAACAAATGTTTCCAATATTATTGCATCTAATACAACAGCTCAGCTTCTGAATACTGGCAATCTTGTGTTGCAAGAAACCACTACAGGAAGCATGTTATGGCAGAGTTTCCAACACCCTTGTAATTCATTGTTGCAGCAAATGAAAGTTAGTAGGAATAAAACCAGCGGTGAGAGAATGGAACTCACCTCATGGAAAAGCCCTCAGGATCCATCCATTGGAAACTTCTCCACCAGTCTTGAAGGCCTAAACATCCCTGAAGTTTTCACATGGAGAGGAAGTCAACCATACTGGCGAAGTGGTCCATGGAATGGTCAGATCTTTCTTGGAATACCTAACATGACCACTAATTATCTTGATGGATTTTACATAGGTGGGCAAGATGAAGGGAAAGGCAATTATTATCTCACTTATGCATTTGCAAATCAGTCTGAGTTGATAATATATGGGTTAGGTATTGATGGAAACACAGCCGAAGTGCATTGGGATTATGGAAAGAGAAATTGGTGGATCTATTGGGAATCTATAATTTCTGAGTGTGATGTTTATGGCATATGTGGAGCATTTGGAAGCTGTGATTCTAGAAGTTCACCTATCTGCACCTGTTTGACAGGATTTGAGCCAAGGAATGTGGAGGAATGGAATACACAAAACTGGACCAGTGGATGTGTTAGGAAGGGACCTCTGCAGTGTGGAAGAGTCACAAATGGAGATGGGTTTCTCAAGCTGCCAAATACCAAAGTTCCGGACTTTATCCAGTGGTCATCTTCTCTTGAAGATGTTTGTAGAACTCGGTGCTTGCAAAACTGTTCTTGTATAGCATATGCATATGATGCTGGCGTTGGCTGTATGTCATGGAGTGCAAACTTAATTGACATACAGAGGTTTTCAAGCGGAGGAACTAATCTTTACATTCGGGTTCCCTATTCAGAACTTGGTAAGTCTTGTTTCTTTTAAATGAACTATTGCTCACTTTCTTGTATATGACACATAGAGCACCTGTTGACTTTATATTAAAACTTTCAATAACAGAAGAAAAGAAGAAGAATGCCACAATGCTCATTGCAGTTACGGTCATAATAGGAACGATTTTCATTGTGACCTGTGGATATGTCATGTGGAAAAGAACTACAAGAGGAGGTAATCTAGCATTGTACTGCCCTGGTAGACTAAAACATCACTGATATTTTTTTGTTGATTAATTGCTTCTTATATATATCCATATTGACCTCAATAGTAAAGCAGAATTAGAAGATGTTTATATCTTAGAGGGCTATTTGACATATGCCACCACACACGGGTTGAATTAGCAGTCTCAAAGTCCTCTTGGTGGTTTCCTTTTTCCTTCAAACAAGAAAAGAAAATGAGTCCTTTCTTTGATTTTTCTTTAATTCGTTATTTTCATTTGTTGTATGTTGGAAACCTAAAACCATAACCGAGCTTCACAATTTAGCTTCTATGAAGAGTTTGTTCCTTCCGCATTCATGTTTTATAATTAAACTAAATTCCATCACAAAGTAAAATACTCTTTCTTGGCATTTTATTTTATAGAAGTTTGTGTTTCTAACTGAAGTTTCGACCTTGTTAACGATTAACCATTTCTTTTTCAATGCTAATTAAGCTTCCCACTTTGTTAAAAGGGATTCTTGGCTCTTTCAAACAGCTTTTACGATCCCTACAATACTATGAACTGCTTTTGATTCTCTTAGTCTGTATAAGACATAGTGTTATGCGATTTAAGAACAATATCTTAAGTAGTGTAGCATTACAATTATACTATTTATTTTTCTATAAAAGATAATTGTGTGATTGTTGATATTTAAATACAGAGAAAAATCATAAAAGAATCCAGGTAAATGACCTGAGTAAACTCCCAGAGCTTTCCCAATTTGAGCTTGAAAAGCTTGCTACTGCAACAAACAATTTTCACTTAGCTAATAAGCTAGGGCAAGGTGGATTTGGACCAGTATACAAGGTATTTTCTTCGTAGTGAATTTCATTATCCCCCAAATCATGAAATTCATTGCTACTTCTTGAAATTTGCTTGCAGGGTACATTGGAAGGGGGACAAGAAATAGCAGTTAAAAGACTTTCAAGAACATCTGGACAAGGGCTAGAAGAATTTATGAATGAGGTTGGGCTAATATCAAAGCTTCAACATCGTAACCTCGTGAGACTTCTTGGATGTTGTATCGAAGGAGATGAAAAGATTTTGATATATGAGTACATGCCAAACAGAAGTTTGGATGCCTATATGTTTGGTTAGTTCTCATCATCTCCTTTTTATTTTATGATTTTGATGTGATAGTATACTAAAATCAAGGGTAAGTGGAGAGGGAAAAAGCGCTTACTTGGTGAGAGTGAGAATGAGTCATCCCTTGATCTTCGACTGAGATCTTCTTTGTTCACCCTTTTGCTTTTGTCATCACAGATCCATCTGAAGAGGTACTAAATTGGGAAAAACGTTTTAATATAATTGAAGGAATTGCTCGGGGTCTGCTTTACCTTCATAGAGACTCTAGACTAAGAATTATCCACAGAGACCTCAAGTTAAGTAATATATTGCTGGATGAAGAGCTGAATCCAAAAATATCAGATTTTGGTATGGCAAGGATTTTTTGTCGCAGTGAAGATGAGGCCAATACTAGAAGGATTGTAGGAACATGGTAAGCATTGCTTTGACCCTTTTGTCTAAGATTTTATTATTAAACTGTCAGGAATGAAAATTAACACCAAAGTTTATGCAGTGGTTATATATCTCCAGAATATGCCATGGAAGGGCTATTTTCAGAAAAGTCCGATGTCTTTAGCTTTGGTGTTTTACTGCTAGAAGTTGTCAGCAGGAGAAAAAATACCAGTTTTTATGAGGATGCTGTATCATTGAGCCTTTTAGGATATGTATGGATCTCCATTTTATTACCTCATTTCAATAGCTATATTTCCTCTTAATGAAATGATAATTTGACTTTGAAGTTTAACAACGTACTATTGCATCTTTTTAATATTTGTAGGCATGGAAATTGTGGAACGATGACAACATTACTTCTTTAATAGACCCAGAAATATCAAACCCAAACTTCCATGCTGATATTTTTAGATGTATACATATTGGTCTTCTATGTGTGCAAGAACTTGCAAGAGACAGGCCTACAATGACTGCAGTACTTTCAATGCTTAACAATGAGACTGTTAATCTTCCACCCCCAAGGCAGCCAGCATTTATTCAAAGGCAGACCATGTTGGACGTAGGATGCTCTCATAAAAGTGATGCAATATACTCTATGAATTATGCGAGTGTAACAAGTATCCAAGGAAGATAGGCCATAATGTTGTTATAAAATGATTACATTCTTGATGCATTTGATCCCAGAAATTTGGAGCCAATAAGCACTTGAACTTTGAATACCAGTGTATAATTTGCTTCTAGCATTTCGGTGGCTGTCTGCAACGATCATCAAATTTAAAAAGCTATACATATAGGCTGCATTTAAAAACATTGCCTATGCCTTAGGATATGCATCTTCTGAAAAGCATTGCCAAAAGGAGGAATAGACAACTCTTATCAATACATAGCCTTATTATTCATAGCTAGTTAATTTATAGAGTAAAGTTTTTCTTGGGTTCTTAAAGAAAAACACGATCCTCCACTTTTGTCCTTTAAAAAAAAAGTAATTTTTTATGTAAATCCTTATTATTCATAGCTAGTTAATTTATGGGTTTATCATCTATCATTTAACATGATCACAAAAATTTTCCTACACACACAATATTTTGTGGGGCCCGTAGCAAAAAAAAAAAAAACTTCGGCGCAAAACGAATCTCTATAACATAACACAATCACTTTTCCTACAACATAACTCTTATAAAACCCTTAATTTATAACCAATTTTTATGTACATGAGCACTTTAAAGTTAACAAAGAAGTCTTGACGAGTATCTCTGTTAGCAAATCCTTCTTCCTTTTATTAGTTTTTCTTTATTAATTATATAAGTAATTTTGGAATAGCGAAAATTTTAGATATCATTACTATTCTTAGAACTAGTTTTGATCAACAGACAAGAGCGATTTGCCAATGAGATAGGAAAATGTAGTTGTAAGAAAAGAAATTATTATTGAGAGAAATTTTTATTTTTATAAGATACGTTGTCTTATGAAATGGTAGGGAAGTCATTTTGATAAAAAGTTTGAAAAAAGATGTTTGATTGACCGAAATATTACAGTCAAAATTTATTTAAATTTGCAAAATCTATGTTTGGGAGGAACTTCGCACCTGTTTTTTTCTCTTTCCCAGTTACCTCAAAATACCATATCTCAAGTGGTATTTTGTAATAGTAAATTTCACCTAAAAATCAACATTAAAGTCGTTTCCTAGCCTTCCTATTTGCCTAGTATTTTTTTTTTCAAATACTTGAGCCAAACATGATATTTTCTAATATCCATCCACACTTTCTCATCAAACCCAAAATAAAACTTGTACGAAACACACCCATAAATATAGAACTTATCCTTGTTGAGACATCAATGTTTCCCAAATTGCAATATATTTTAAACAGGTTTTCAAATTATGGTAAAACTACTATCATATAACAGAATCTAAACAATTTTTATGTAACAGAATCTAAATAATTTTTGGGTTTGTCGTTTCTCCTTTCACTGCTGATGAGAAAAGTTGCAGCAAATTATTAATACTAGGATACGAGGTTGTATCCTGGCCTAAAAAAAAAAAACACATCAAGATTCGGACGCGTATCCTGATAAAAATAAGTGTTGCTGCACTTTTTTTCATCTGCAGTGACAGAAGAAATATATAACCCATAATTTTTTCAGCTGAAACAAAAATGCACGTGGATCCTATACATGTAATAAAAACAAAAACAAAAAATGCAATGCGTCGGTAGGTAAAAAAAATTATATCACGTTACATAATACTCATTTTTTCCTTCAAATTAATTCACTTATATAAAGAGAAAAGACAATTGAGTTGATTTGATCATATGGTCAATTATAACCGAGCAGGTAACATGACCAAAGAAAATAGAAAAAGCATCAGCTTATTATTTTATTTGTTTTCGTTATGTCAACTCATGAACTTTTGCTAATTTCCTGGAAATTATATCATGTACTTTGCAACTGTAGGCATCAATGAGAAGTAGACTTGTCAACTTTTGCTAATTTCCTGGAAATTATATCATGTACTTTGCAACTGTAGGCATCGATAAGAAGTAGACTTTGACAAGTAAACTAATAAAAGTCAGAGGAGGGCACAAATATTCTACAATGGACCAATTAACAAATAGAAGAGCTTTCACATACTCAAATCACATGTTTTATAACTATATTAGTAAGATAACCGTGCTACTTTGCGTGTGCATTTTTTCCCCTATTGTCTTGATCATTGTTTACTAAAATATCCCAGTTTTGGTTTGGAAATAACTTTTAAATATCAATTATTTTGTATTTTAATTCTATGATTTATCAGTGAGAAAAAACTACTAATTTAAAATTATATAAATTAATTAATACTATTTTTTTTTACCAAAAAGAGATTTCACACCCATATTCGGATGTCAACTAATCCATTGATTTCTTTTTTAAATCATTTTACTCCTCAATATTAATTATTTTTATTACTAATTTCGTTGCAAAGTAATGGACACTCAACACTTAGGGATGTGAAATCGGACTGCAACTAATGAGTTGACCCGAACAAATCAATAACGCATTTGGGATGGGCTAGAAAAACTGAAGTCCAAATATATTTGGACCCAACTTAATACGAGATATCTTATTCGGAAGTTCAAAGGCACTCCAAATATAATATTATCCACATAGTAGAGTTATTTTTTAGTTTCTCATCCGGTTCGATAACTTGTCATACCCTATTAAAAGGAAAATTCTCCCAAATCTTTTTTTTCATTCTTATGTTAGAACTCAAGACCTTTGGTTAAGGGTGTTTGATAAAGTAGAGTTAATTTAAATTATAAAACAATGTTTTAAATTTAATTTAAATGTATATATATTTATACTACTTGCGTATTATCTTTTTATTAAGGAGAGATTATACTTATTACCTTTTTTTCTTACTACATCTTACTATCAAGTCTTAATAGTTGATTTCGGCAAATTTAACGGTTATAATTTATTGAGAATTAATAATTAATTAATAAGTGTGATCCAATAAATTATAATCATTAGATTAACAGAAATCAACGATTAAGATTTGATAGTAAAAGATAGTAAGAAAAAAAGGTAGTAAATATAACATCTCCCTGAGACGAAAATCAAGGTATTTTTACAATTATAATTTATTTTAGGGATATAATAGTCTTTTTCATTATAAATTTTTAATTTTTCAACCCAAAACGGCGTCGTTTTGAGAGCGAATGTAGATAACTTATCTACATTCCCTGTAGAAACCAATGTTATTAAAACTGACCCGGTCATTGACCCGGTCGAGGTACTGGGTCACTGGTTTAATCAGTGGGTCAATGGTTCAATCGCATGACCCGATAATTAGATGCAATTTTATTATTTATATTATAAAATTATATACATACTCAAATATCTAAAAAAATGATTAAAATTTCAAATAATTTAATATAAAAAATAATAAATCACATATTATTATCCAATAAAAGATCAAACAAAAATATAATGATAGTGATATGAGACTTTAGGTTCAGAAAATGACATCTCTAACTATAAATTAATTCAAAATTTTCTGCATAGTACATAATTGAGATAATATTAGTGTTGTAGGTACATAACTTATGTAAGTCAATAAGCAAAAAAATATTCAAATATGTCCATTATGATTTTTTTTTGAAAAAAAAATGATTTTTTTTTGGGACCGGGCCGGGTCACCGGTTAACCAACCGGGTCACTGGTTTTTATGAAAACCGGCCGGGTCGGACCGGGTCGCACCGATTCTGATGCATGGCCGGTCCGTTGCTTCAACCAGACCGGTTTATCGGTTCCCGGGTCGACCCGGGTTTAATAACAATGGTAGAAACGTTAAAGCCTTTATTAATATGAATATAATATTTTAATAATGTTTTCGAAACTCCTCGTTATTTCCTTTAAAAGGAGTTTAAAGTCTTAATCATGGACCCGTCTCGAATCGGACTAGTCGCAAAACGATTAAGTGTTGTAAAAATTGAACCGGACCGGCCGGGTCGACTCGGAACCCGGTGAACCGATCATCTGACCAGTCCGATAATCGCATTGGATCGGCCAAGTACCAAACCCGGTGCGATGCGACTAGTTTTGATGAAAATCTGTGGCCCGGTGACCCGCCGATTTATTTTTTTAAAATTTTTTTTTCCAAAAATTATCATAATTGACATATTTGAGTGATCTGTTGCTTATTGACTTACATAAGTTATGTACCTCCAATAATAATATTATCTCATAGTATGCACTATACAATAAATTTTGATTTGATTTATAGTTAGAGATGTCATTTTCTGAACCTAAAACACCAATATCACAATCATTATATATTGGTTTGATCCTTTAGTGGACAATAATGTATAATTTATTATTTTTATATTGGAATATTTAAAATTTATATTATTATTTTCAATTATTTGAGTATGTTTATAATTATTTTAATATAAATTATAGATTTACATATAATCATCGGTCATGCGGTTCAACTAATGATCCAGTGACCCGGTACCTCAACCGGGTCAATAACCTGGCCGATTTTAATAACACTGCGATGGAATATTTCCCATAAAGAATACACAAATATTTTTAAAAAAAATTTAAAGATAGTCGTGCTCGGGATTTAATACCAAATTGCCTCCATGTTATCGATTGGTGGAGTAAGGAGTTACCTGCGAATTGCGATGTACATATTGAAGAAGAAAACAAAAGTTCTTTGCAATAGCGAAAGGTCTAACCAGTGTATCAATCCTCTATCGGCATCCTTGAATTAAATTTAAACATTGGGTAAAGTAACTTAAGATTTTCATATGAATAGATCTTTACGTTTAAAATATGAAAAATATTATATTTACAAATTTTTTATTTATAAATTCATACAAATTATATTATGTCTGACCGGTCATACTTAGTATAATTTATAAAAAAAATTGTAAACGAATCTTACCCTTTAAAATATATATATTAGGAAATTAACTATCAAACCACTGCTTTTGACACTTAATGCAATATTAAAAAAGTTGACAAGTACCAAATGGTGGTAGCTTAGTTCGCGCATGAGAACTAAGCCATGTGTTCGAATCTCTCCAGTACCATCTTTGGGAGGGATTTAAAGCCTTAATCATAGACTCGCCACGAATCGAATTAGTTGCGAAACAATAAACCGATTGAAATATTAAAAAAAAAAAAATTAACAAGTGCTCATTATTGATGAATGTTGAATAAGTCCATATATATATATATATATGAGGTAGGATCCTTTGATACCGGTGTCAAATTTTAAAATTTGACACCTCATCTTATAGTCGTTAGATCAAAAAAGATCAATGGAGTCACATGCTTACAAATCAGAGTCGTTGATTTTTTTTGATCTAACGGCTATAAGATGAGGTGTCAAATTTGACACCGGTGTCAAAGGATCCTATATATATATATATATATATATATATATGGAATTAACAATCAAATCATTGCTTCTGACATTTTATGCAACATTAAAAATTGGCAAGCGCTCTTTGTTGATGAATGCCAGATACTCACCAATAAAAATCGAATCAAAGACTTTAGAGTATATGCTATTTAATCTTATCAGTTAGCCAACATCCTCACCGATTGACAAGTACTTGAAGCAGCATAATCGCCTTCCCAAAATGAAAAAAAGATAGACCTTTGTTATCAGCAAAAATGGTATTCATCTGATGTTCACAGCTTCCAAAAACTCCAATCCAGAACCCAATAACTCATTCATCTCATTATGGGGTTCAGTTTCAGTCAGTTTAGACACTTACCCTTTTTGTTTATACTTTCCTGTTTATCCATACATATTGGCACTTCCACAGACACCATCTCATCATCCTATTTCCTCAAGGACCCTGAAACTTTAAGCTCCACTGACGGTTTGTTCCAGCTTGGATTCTTCACCCCTCCAAACTCAACTTTTTCCTACCTGGGAATTTGGTATAATGTGTCTAAAAACCCGCAGATATGGGTAGCTAACAGAGACCAACCAGTGAAGGATTCCTCTGGAACAGTCAAAATATCTGAGGATGGAAACCTTGTTGTCATGAATGGACAGAAAGAGATCCTTTGGTCAACAAATGTGTCCAATATTATTGCATCTAATACAACAGCTCAGCTTCTGAATACTGGCAATCTTGTGTTGCAAGAAACCACTTCAGGAAGCATGGTTTGGCAGAGTTTCCAACACCCTTGTAATGCGTTGTTGCAGCAAATGAAACTTAGTGCAAATAAAACCAGCGGTGAGAGAATAAAGCTCACCTCATGGAAAAGCCCTCAGGATCCATCCATTGGAAACTTCTCTACCGGTCTTGAAAGCCTAAAAATCCCTGAAATTTTTACATGGAGAGGAAGTCAACCATACTGGCGAAGTGGTCCATGGAACGGTCAGATCTTTCTTGGGATACCTGACATGTACTCTGATTATCTTGATGGATTTTACTTAGGTGGGCAAGATGAAGGGAACGGCAATTACTATCTCACTTATACGTATGCAAATCAGTCTGAGTTGAGAATATATGGGTTGAGTATTGATGGAAATATATACGAAGTGTATTGGGATTATGGAAAGAGAAATTGGATGATCGATTGGGAAGCTATAAATTCTGATTGTGATGTTTATGGCATATGTGGAGTATTTGGAAGTTGTGATTCTAGAAGTTCACCTATCTGCACCTGTTTGACAGGATTTGAGCCAAGGAATGTTGAGGAATGGAATACACAAAACTGGACCAGTGGATGTGTTAGGAAGGAACCTCTGCAGTGTGAAAGAGTCAAAAATGGAAGTGAAGCTGGTAATGGAGATGGGTTTCTCAAGCTGCCAAATAGCAAAGTTCCTGACTTTATCCAGTGGTCGTCTTCTCTTGAAGATGTTTGTAGAACTCAGTGCTTGCAAAACTGTTCTTGTATAGCATATGCATATGATGCTGGCGTTGGCTGTATGTCATGGAGTGCAAAGTTAATTGACATACAGAGGTTCTCAATTAATGGAGGAACTGATCTTTACATTCGGGTTCCCTATTCAGAACTTGGTTAGTTATTTGTTTCTTTTAAATAAATAATTGCTCACTTTCTTGTATATGACACAGAGTGCACGTTGACTTTATCTTAAAACTTTCCGTAACAGAAGAAAAGAAGAAGAATGCCACAATGCTAATTGCAGTTACGGTCATAATAGGAACGATTTTAATTGTGACCTGTGGATATGTCATGTGGAAAAGAACTACAAGAGGAGGTAATCTAGCATTGTACTTCCCTGGTAGACTGAAAAATAACTGATATTTTTTTGTTGATTAATTGCTTATTATATATACACATATTGACCTCAATAGTAAAGCAGAATAGAAGATGTTTATATCTTAGAGGGCTATTTGACATATGCCACCACACACGGGTTGAATTGCCAGTTTCCATTCCTCTTGCCGGTTTCCTTTTTCCTTCAAACAAGAAAAGAGAATGAATCTTATCTTTGGTTTCTTATTGACTCGTTATTTTCATTTGTTGTTTGTGGGAAATCTAAAACCATCACTTGGCTTCACATTTTTGCTTCTATGAAGAGTTGTTTCCTTGCCGCATTCATTTTGTAATTAAACTAAATTCCAGCACAAAGTAAAATACTCCTGTGTGGCATTTTGTTTTAATGAAGTTAGTGTGTCTATCTGAAATTTTGACATTATTGAACAATTACTCTTTCTTTTTCAATGCTAATTAAGCTTCCCACTTTCTTAAAAGGGATTCTTTGGCTCTTGCAAATAACTTTTACAATCCCTAGAATACTATTAACTGCTTTAATTCTCTTAGTTTGTATAAATTGAGGGTAAAGTGTGTGTTATTTTAAAGGATGTAAAGTTGTGTCATTTTAAGAGAGAGAAAGAGATAGATAAAGGAGGAGGGAGAGTTGACAAAAATAAAAATAAAAGTGTGAGTCTCACCTCTTTGTGAGAGTAAAATGATATAAGTTATCTCATTTAAACGGATAAACACTTTTCCCATAAATTAATAGTAAACAATATCTTAATTAGTATAGCATTACAATTATACTTTTTATTTGTCTATAAAAAATAATTGGATAATTGTTGATATTTAAATACAGAGAAAACATTTAAGAAAAATCAGAGAAGCAGCCAGGTAAATGACCTGAGTAAACTTCCGGAGCTTTCCCAATTTGAGCTTGAAAAGCTTGCTACTGCAACAAACAACTTTCACTTAGCTAATAAGCTAGGGCAAGGTGGATTTGGACTAGTATACAAGGTATTTTCGTCACAGTGAATTTCACTAATCTCCCAAATCATGAAATTCATCGCTCATTCTTGAAGTTTGCTTGTAGGGTACATTGGAAGGTGGACAGGAAATAGCAGTTAAAAGACTTTCAAGAACATCTGGACAAGGGCTAGAAGAATTTATGAATGAGGTTGTGCTAATATCAAAGCTTCAACATCGTAACCTCGTGAGACTTCTTGGATGTTGTATCGAAGGAGATGAAAAGATTTTGGTCTATGAGTACATGCCAAACAGAAGTTTGGATGCCTATATGTTTGGTTAGTTCTCATAATCTCCTTTTAATTATATGATTTTGATGTTATAGTATACTAAAATCAAGGGTAGGTGGAGAGGGAAAAAATGCTTACTTGGTGAGAGTGAGAAAGAGTCTTCCCTTGATCTTCTGCTGAGATCTTCTTTGTTCACCCTTTTGCTTTTGTCATCGCAGATCCGTCTGCAGAGGTACTAAATTGGGAAAAACGTTTTAATATAATTGAAGGAATTGCTCGGGGTCTGCTTTACCTTCATAGAGACTCTAGACTAAGAATTATCCACAGAGACCTCAAGTTAAGTAATATATTGCTGGATGAAGAGCTGAATCCAAAAATATCAGATTTTGGCATGGCAAGGATTTTTGGTCGCAGTGAAGATGAAGCAAATACTAGAAGGATTGTCGGAACATGGTAAGCATTGCTTTGTCCTTTTTGTCTAAGATTTTATTGTTAAACTGACAGCAATGAACATTAACACCAAGGTTTATTCAGTGGTTATATATCTCCAGAATATGCCATGGAAGGGCTATTTTCAGAAAAGTCTGATGTCTTTAGCTTTGGTGTTTTACTGCTAGAAGTTGTCAGCAGGAGAAAAAATACCAGTTTTTATGAGGATGCTGTATCATTGAGCCTTTTAGGATATGTAAGGATCTCCCTTTTATTACCTCATTTCAATAGCTATATTTCCTCTTAATGAAATGATAATTTGACATTGAAGTTTAACAACTAGTTCATCTTGTTAATGTTTGTAGGCTTGGAAATTGTGGAATGATGACAATATTACATCTTTAATAGACCCGGAAATATCAAATCCAAGCTTCCATGCAGATATTTTTAGATGTATACATATTGGTCTTCTATGTGTGCAAGAACTTGCAAGAGACAGGCCTACAATGACTGCAGTACTTTCAATGCTTAATAATGAGACTGTTAATCTTTCACCCCCAAGGCAGCCAGCATTTATTCAAAGGCAGAACATGTTGGACGTAGGATGCTCTCATAAAAGTGATGCAATATGCTCTATGAATTATGCGAGTGTAACAAGTATCCAAGGAAGATAGGCCATAATGTTGTTATAAAATGATTACACTCTTGACGCATGTGATCCCAGAGATTTGGAGCCAATAAGCACTTGAACTTTGAATACCATTGTATAATTTGCTTCCAGCATTTGGGTGGCTGTCTGCAACGATCATCAAATTTAAAAAGCTATACATATAGGCTGCATTTGAAAACATTGCCTATGCCCGAGGATTATGCATCTTCTGAAAAGCATTGCCAAAAGGCATAATAGACAACTCTTATCAATATATAGTCTTATTATTCATGGCTAGTTAATTTATAACCAATTCTTATGTACATAATCGAGCACTTTAAAATTAACAAAGAAATATTGACGAGTATTTTTCTTAGCAAATTCTTCTTCCTTTTATTAGTCTTTCTTTATTAATTATATAAGTAATTTTGGAATAGCAAAAATTTTAGATATCATTGTTATTCTTAGAACAAATTTGGATCAACAGACAAGGGCGATTTACGAATGAAATAGAGAAAAGTAGTTGTAAGAAAAAAAAATTACAGTTGAGTGAAAATTTTATTTTTAAAAGCTACGAAGTCTTGTGAAAATCTTTTAAATATAAAACTTATCCTTGTTGAGACATCAATTTTTCAATATATTTTAAACAGGTTTTGAAATTAATTCACTTATATAAAGAGAAAAGACAATTGAGTTGATTTGATCATATGATCAAATACAACCGAGCAGGTAACCTGACCAAAGAAAAGAGAAAAGGCATCAGCTTATTATTTTATTTGGTTTCCTTTTGTCAACTCATGAACTTCTGCTAATTTCCTGGAAATTATATCATGTGCTTTGCAACTGTAGGCATCAATGAGAAGTAGACTTTGACACGTAAACTAATAAAAGTCAGAGCAACGGACTAATTAACAAATAGAAGAGCTGTTTTTTTCCTTGATATACAAAAAAACAAAAACAAATAGAAGAGCTGTCACATACTCAAATCACATATTTTATAACCATACTAGTAGGATGACCGTGCTACTTTGCTTGTACATTTTCCCCCTATTGTCTTGATAACTGTTTACTAAAGTATCCCATTTTTGGTTTTGAAATAACTGTCAAATATCAATTGATTTGTATTTCACTTCAATTACTTATGAGACAGAAAAATAATAATAAGACAACTAAATTAAAATTTAAAAAATTAATAAATATTATTTATTATTTTTAATTTAAAGTTTGTTATCATAAAAAATGAGAAGATTATAAAATCAAGATGAAGATGTAAATTATATGCACTAAGGTTGATGTATTTGATGGTGTCACATCATCATGATTTTGATGATATCATACAAGTTTGGAGATGTTGATTCAAGAGCAAAATGACAATCTAAAATAAAAATTATAAAAGTAAAGTCGTATTATGTGACAGACGTTTCATGACAGTTACGCAAAAATCGTTATCTTATCATATTTCACGTGGTTAATGGTGCAGTTAAGGTAAATGTCGGCTTATTTGCGAGGGTTAGAAGTTTCTTATGTTACATAAAAATGTCAAATCATTCCTGCACAAACATAATAACATGGGTACCATGAAAGTTTAAAAAAGAAAAAGAAAAAGAAAGTTGAAAGCGACGTTTTTTCTATCTGCAGGAACGGATTGAATTCTTATGTTACATAAGAATTTCAATCCCCTATTTGCAATTCAGTGACGATGTTCAACGGTGGTTTGTACAAATCACCCTGGAGTAAAGGTATTACACGACAGTTATATGTAACCACTGCATAACATGATATTCCATGGCAGTTTTATGTTCTGTGACAGTTGGTTGTTAATTAGTAGGTGAGATATATTTTCCAATAAATTTAACTAAAAGGTAATATTTTTTTTAATCTTTTAATCATTTTCGCCCCACTACCAAAAAAATATCTCCCTCCACAATGATTCTCACTCAAAACTAAGTTAAGGTTAAGAAAGAGGGAAAGATTTGAAGTGCTTAGGATTTGGAATCAATGAAAATGGTTAAGAAATGAGAGAGTTGTGATCTTAGGGCTGTCGAAGAAGGAGAAAGAAATGAGGGAGGTTATGTGGTTTATTCACTTAACTTAGTTAAGTTAAGTTTGACTGGGTAAAAACTCATCTATCTAGTTAACTCTGTTCTCTTTCAAACTTTACCCAAAAGTCTGGAATTTTTTTCTAGGAATATTTTTACTTTTACTTTTATATTCTGGGTACTTTTTCCTATACTCATTTTTACCCCATAATTTTCTCTGACTGCACTTTTTATCTCAAAAGTGGCCCTAATTAATTTAATTAGGCCTTTTACTTATTTCAACTCTCTAATACATGCTAATTTACTATTTAATTAGGTTAGAGATATTATATCCCCAAAATTCATATGGGCAAGATGTGCACACACACACACACACATATATATATATATATATAACTCATTATAATTTTGTAAATACATATTTAATTTGTTAGAAAGAATATCTTTTTTTTTTTGAAAATATTCCAATCAGTTCATTGCTTCGCAACTAATCCAATTCGGGGCAGGTCCAGGATTAAGGCATTAAACCCCTCCCAAAGGTGATATTGGGGAGATTCGAACACATGCTCTCACCCCCACCTGCTTAGCTCCCATGCGCCAACTGAGCTACCACCATTTGGTAGAAAGAATATCTTTTGTATATCTGTAAATATCTATTTCCTTATTTCATTAGGATTTGTGTTAGGTCTGGGCTAAGCCCATTAATGTATTTATATATTGTACATCGTGTATCAATTCAATATTACACAGATTTATTTCAATGTTCCTCTCGTCTCTTGCTATTTAACAAGGTATCAAGAGCCTAACCAAAGGAACCTTGATCTTTTTTTTTCCGGTGAACCCACTAATCATCATCTTTTCAAAAAAAATAATAATTAGGGAACTGTCTCATTGTTAGTTTTCGGACGTTTCTTTCCTTTTTCTCTCCGCACAAAGACGCCAGAACCCCGTTGAAGCCTCAGCTCCGTCAACCACCACCATCCGGTGGCTTTTTCCTACGATCCACATATCGACATGCTCGTCTCGGCGGCGCGGTCACAACTGCACCAGTCGGGGGCCCAAAGGAAGTCACACGCGCTCTCACGCGCGCCTGTAAGTTGCGCCACCCTCTTCGCACCTGCGACGCGCGGCGACCCGTGAAGGCTCCTCTCCGGCCATGGCTGGTTGTGTTCTTCTCGTCTCACCGCAACGGTTCTGGATTTGGTATTGTTTTGGTGTTTTGACCTTGTTTTTCATTGACGCATAGATCCCTCTTCTACCGGTTCGTTGTGTGATCTGTCTTTCTGATTTCTTTTTCTAATCTTGATTATGGATTCCCTTATCTCTTCTGTTTTTGGGTCTCCAACTGGCTCTGAGTCGGAGTCTACTATTTTTTCAAATTATATCCTTGCTCCACTGAGTGTGGATAAATTAGATGGGTCAAACTATGATACTTAGTCGTCAGATCTGCGACTTTGGTTGGATGGGCAAGATTATACATCCCATCTCACTACCAAGGCTGATTCTGTGGCAGCTAATGAGCGCACACGATGGAAGGTGATTGATGCTCAGTTGTGTAGTCTTATTAAAGCTACTCTTCATCCGTCAATTAAGCAGATTTTTCGACTTGCCAATACCTGTGAAGCTATTTGGAGTCAGGCAAAAGCATTGTACACCAATGATACACAGCGAATCTATGGTGTGTGTCAGAAATTGATGACTACCTTTGCTCCTCAGGACTTCAATTGTCCTATGACTGAATATTTGGGAAAAGCTCAGAGTTTGCTTCATGGTTTTAATGAACTTCTGCCCCTCACTGGTGATGTTACTAAGGAACAGGAACAACGTAATACACTCTTTATGTTGTTCATTTTATATGGTTTACCTGACCATTTGTCTGTCAATCGGGATCAAATTTTGGGATCTGTTACAGCTCCTACACTGGATTCTGTGATGTCTACCTTGCTTAGGATTCTACCTAAGCCCTTTACGTCACCAACACCTCCTGTGACGCATGTACTTCCAGATGATACTGTTGACTCTCCTGCCCTTGCTGCTCAGGGTTATGGTCGTGGACGTAAACTCTCTAAGGGAAAGCTATTATGCACTTATTGTAACATCCCGAGCGCGGACGAGGGCGGGGAGTGATCGCCGGTGCAAAGAGGCACGGACAAGGAGTGGCTCCTGACAGGCTTCCAGCAGGGGGTTACATGCATGAATGAATCGAATCGACACCCGAAAGAGAGGGATTCCAAAGGCTATGCAGGTATAAGGCTGCACATTTTGGGATAGCTTATAAGAATTAATTGGTACTACCTATGCTAACAAGATGCATCTGTTTTTCGGTAGCCTGGATCGGAAGAACTCCACAGTTAAGCGTGCTTGACTTCGAGCAATTCTGGGATGGGTGACCTTTTGGAAAGTTTTCCCAGGAAGTGTGCGAGTGAGGATAAAGCACATTGAAAAGTCTCGTGTTAGTATATGGGGATAGTCATTGATTCTTGAAGCGGTCGGGCGTTACAAGTGGTATCAGAGCAGTTTCTTAGGGAAACTTGTGGATTGTTGTTATGTTTGCTTGGTGTTTGATGCTTTATAGTTGTTTTGGTACTCTTTATGATTATTGCATTTGTGATCATTGAGTGTGAGCCTGATCAACTCATTTCTTTGTATAACATGTGTAGTGTCAGGACGAGGAACCCGAATAACCCTGGACTATCGAATGCCAATGCACAGCCAGATCCTGTTTTGGCTGCTTTAGTTAGGCCCCGAAGTGGTCGTGGGGCAACAGGTGGGCAGTCTGATCCCGTGGTTGAAACTCTTGCAGATTTGCAAAGGGAGTTGACTGCTAGTCGGCAAGCTAATGAGAACTTGATGAAAACGAATGAAGATACGCGGAATGCTATGGCCGCGATGATGAACGAGTTGAGGACTTTGAGGGGTGCTAGACCAGAGAACCGACAACCCATTCTTCCTCCTCACACTGCCGCGCCTACTCCACATACTCTCCATGAAGAGGGTGGAGCGGGTAACAATGAGGATGAGGCTAGTCACCATTCTGGTAGTCATGTCATCACACTGAGGTTCGTCAACCACGTGTAGAGCATGTCGATGAACATGAAGCCGAAGAAAGGCGATTGACGGCTTTCAGAAAACATAAACCTCCTTCTTTTGATGGAGGCTACGACCCGTTGGTGGCGGCAAAATGGCTCCAAGCTATGGAGAAGATCTTTAGGGTGATGAGATGCCCTGATGCACTGAAGTTGGTATACTCAGTGTGCATGCTGGAAGGTGAAGCCGAGGATTGGTGGACGAACACGGTGCAACCGTTGGAAGCTGAAGGCCAGGAAATTACCTGGCGGTTGTTTGAGACTATGTTCTTGGATAACTACTTCCCTAGGGAGGCTAGGGAAAGGAAGCAAAATGAGTATAACGATTTGAAGCAGGGGACGATGACCATTGACCAATATTTCGCCAAGTTTAATGAATTGGTGAAGTATGCCAACTATGGGAGAGCTCTACCTACTTCAGCTGAGATGACCTCCAAGTTTCAGTGGGGTCTAAATGAGAAAATGTCTCGGAAGATGTCAAATTGCGATATCCGCATTTTAATTCAAATTTGTGATTATAATTGCGCTTAATGTCGTAAGTAATATTAACAAACCGGTTCTAGAACGGGGTATTACATTCCTGTTCCTTAGTAACAGAGCAGGGCCTCTCATCCAGTACGGTGTGGTTCGAGGACGAACCAGCCGAAGCTGGTGGGCATGTAACATCCCGAGCGCTGACGAGGGCGGGGAGTGATCGCCGGTGTAAAGAGGCACGAACAAGGAGCGACTCCTGACAGGCTTCCAACAGGGGGTTACATGCATGAATGAATCGAATCGACACCTGAAAGAGATGGATTCCAAAGGCTATGCAGGTATAAGGATGCATAGTTTGGGATAGCTTATAAGAATTAATTGGTACTACCTATGCTAACAAGATGCATATGCTTTTCGGTAGCCCGGATCGGAAGAACTCCACAGTTAAGCGTGCTTGACTTCGAGCAATTCTGGGATGGGTGACCTTCTGGGAAGTTTTCCAAGGAAGTGTGCGAGTGAGAAAAAAGCACACTGAAAAGTCTCGTGTTAGTATGTGGGGATAGTCATTGATTCTTGAAGCGGTCGGGCATTATACTTATTGTCATCAGACCAATCATACTGTTGATCGTTGTTGGAAGCTCCATGGAAAGCCACCCCAACCTCCTCGGAATGCTCATGTTGCTCAGGCTTCCTCTAGTACCTCTGCTCCAGGGTTACCTTCCGTTGCACAACCTCCAGTTGCTCTTCTTAATGAATTTGTGACTTGGTGGTCTGAGAAGCAAACATCAGGTCCTACTGCATCCATTGCTCCCACTGGTAATTCTTTTGCTGGAATCTCTCAGTTACACTCTCTAGGCCCTTGGACTCTTGATTCTGGGGCTTCTGATCACATTTCTGGTAATAAGTCCTTATTCACTTCCATTTGTATCACTGGTTCATTTCCTACTATTACTATAGTCAATGGGTCTCTGGTCCAATCACGTGGGATTGACACGGTTCTTCTTTTACCTCATTTATCTCTGGATCATGTTCTCTATGTTCTAGATTTTCCTTTTAACTTACTTTCTGTTAGTCATTTAACAAAATTCATTGATTGTGTTGTTTCTTTTACTAAAACCTCTGTCATCTTTTAGGATCGGAGTTCGGGAAAGGAGATTACCAAAGGATGTGAGTCTCAGGGCCTCTATCAATTGTTTCCTTCTTCTTCAGCCTGCTCCACCGTGGATTCTCTTCTTATTATACATGTTCGTCTGGGTCATCATAGTCTTGTAAAGCTTCAGAAGATGGTTCCACATTTATCGTCTCTTTCTAATTTAAATTGTGAGTCTTGTCAGTTTGGGAAACATACTTGTAGTACGTTCCCAAGTTATCTTAGTCGTCAAGTTGTCTCCCCTTTTTCCGTGGTCCACTCTGATATTTGAAGACCAAGTCGTCATTCTTCTATTTTAGGATTTAAGTATTTTGTTACTTTTATTAATTATATAAGTAATCTTGGAATCGTGAAAAATTTATATATCATGGTGATCCTGGATCAAATCTTGATCAACAAACAAGACCGATATGTGAATGAGATAGAGAAATGTAGTTGTAAGAAAAGAAATTATTGTTAAGTAAAAGTTTTACTTTTAAAAGCTACGAAGTCTTATGACAATCTTTTAAATATGGAACTTATGAGACATCAATTTTGCCCTAATTGCAATATAATTTTAATAGGTTTTAAAATTCACTTATATAAAGAGAAAAGAAAATTGAGTTGTTTTGATCATATCATCAATTATAACCAAGCAGATAACATGAGCAATTAAAAGAGAAAAGGTATTACTTACCAGAGACAGAGACAGAGAGAGAAGGCATCAGCTTATTATTTTATTTGGTTTCCTTATGTCATAACTCATGAACTTTGCTAATTTCCTGGAAATTATATCATCTACCTTGCAACTGGAGGCATCAATGAGAAGTAGACTTTGACAAGTAAACTCATAAAAGTCAGAGCAGGGTGCAAATATTCTACAAGGTACCAATTTACAAATAGAAGAGCTTTCACATACTCAAATCACATATTTTATTACCATGTATTAGTAGGATAACCGTGCTACTTTGCGTGTGCATTTTTTTTCCCTAGTGTCTTATCATTGTTTACTAAAATATCCCAGTTTTGGTTTGGAAGTAACTTTTAAATATAAATTATTTTGTATTTTAATTTTATCATTTATCAGTGAGAAAAAGAAGAATAACACAACTAATTTTAAATTATATAAATTAATTAATACTATTTATTATACCAAAAAGAGATTTCACACCCATATTCTGATGTCAATTAATCCATTGATTTCTTTTTTAAATCAATTTAATCCTCAATATTAATTATTTTTATTACTAATTTCATTGCAAAGTAATGGACACTCAACACAACACTTAGGGATGTGAAATCGGACTGCAACTAATGAGTTGACCCGAACAAACCAATAAAGTATTTGGGATGGGTTAGAAAAACTGAAATCCAAATATATTTGGACCCAACTTAATACGAGATATCTCATTCGGAAGTCCAAAAACGTCAGTCAATTAATAAAATTATCAAGTTAATTTTTTTCTTTTCAAGTTTAAGAAGATATTATTTTAAAAAATACATCTATTTATTTCAAATAAAAATTTATTAAAATCTTTAAATAAAAAATAATCAAATAAATATTTTTAAGTTAGCATTTTGAACAATAATCATTTGAATAAATAATGGGAAAATGTGCTAGTGGAGTTGGCCTACATAACTTGCAACCCACACAGCGTTGGCAAGGGCCAACCAATTTTTTTAGCGTGAACTATACCTGACCCAATCTAGCAATCTACCTTGGCTTCCAACAAATAGGCCTAAACGGGTCTAGCTGGTCGAATTTAACTACTCTTTTTTTCTCTATTTTTTTAACACAAAGCTTTTATCACTATATTACTCCTTCAAAAAATTTATTATCATCCATAGCTCAGCTGGTAGGTCGAGTAGGAGAGAAAAAAATCTAGATTGAATTGAAACTTGTGGGAATAGAAAAAAACCCTAATCAATCCGTCCTATAAATTCCTAAATACAAATTCTGAAAGTTGTATTGAAAATTTACATTGTTCTTGTAGGGAATTGAAGCTCAAAGAAGCAAAAGAGAAAAGGAAGAAGATTCTGAAAATTGAAAAATTCTAAGTGTTGGGCGCTAAAACGCCCAAAACTGAGCGTTTTAGCGCCCTGCTGCACAAAAGATGCCGGTGCTGAACATTAAAACGGCCAAAACTGGGCGTTTTAGCGCCCAAGACAGTTAAAAGCAGTTGGGCATCCGTCAAGGTTGAGCGCTAAAACGTCCAGAAATGAGAGTTTTAGCGCCCATGTCAGTTTTCAGTTGTAATTTGTAAATTATAAAAGGACAAGGGGCCTTCACAAGATGATCATCAGATTCAACTCTCTCATATCCATTCTCTGATATTCTGACTTTTCCCATCACACTAGGAGAAGGGAGATCAAGTCAGATCTTTCATAGATCTGATCTGACTCCTCATTTTCTCTGACTTTCCAAATTCTTAGGACTTAGTATTGTAATAGTTAGTATACTTTCATGTAATTGTACTTGAAGATTGAAGACTCAACTATCATGACAATGGAGTTTGATCTTTCTTCTTCTTCTCTTGTTATTATTTGTATTATGTCTGAGTAGAGTCCTTTGTAGTCTGATTCAATGGAACTCAAGTTTGAATTTATGAATGGTTAATTAGATGTTTTGTTTATCTATTATGTGATTGTATGAAGTTGTCTTGATTAATTCTTCATGTTGAGGAATGGTGTAGAACAGACATGTTTACATTGTTTCTCTATTTTTGACAACTTCATCATCAGTGTTCTAGTAGTCAAGGGATTGATGCTAGGATTCTGATGTGATCTTAAGACCTTAGTAATTAATGCATGTATTAAGAAAGGAATCACCAAGGGATTGAGGTTTCTGATTAATGTGTCTATCAGGGTACTAAGGGATTACATCTTGAGATGATAAGAAAAAGGTTGATCAACATCAAGTAGATAATTTATAATGGAAATTGGTTCATCTATAAATTCATGTTTGAGAGAAAATGACATCTGACTACTTGTTTAAATTATAAGTACATTTTATTTGTTTTATCAAATCTTAATTTTATGCAATTCAACTTTATTTCTGGTGACAAGAAATCAAGCAATCAATGATCTTTTGGTTGATTCAACTCAGATATATATGGTTAGTCAGTGCTTGACATAAATCCTCGTAAAAATGATCTTTACTCATCATTTTATTACTTGTACGACTAGTACACTTGCTAGATCCGCAACATGGATCAACACAGATGTCCTTCTCAGCTCTTGATTGCAATAATTAGAAACGCTTCCAAAAAGATTAACACTCCAAGAATTCGAAAGGAATCGATATATTCTATCCAACATATACAGATTAAAATAGACAAAGTATAAAGCCAATAAAAAAGTTAAACTAGGTATGAAGTATGTCAAACATAGCAGCAGAAGATCAACCCTACATTGTTTGAGGATATACATTGGTTGAAAATCTTCAGGGTACCGTGTCTATTGTTCGGATATTTAAGTGTGACGAGTCTTAGTAATGGGTGGGATATTTAAATGTGATAAGTCTTATATTGATAAGTAATGGGTTAAGCGAATTGATAATAAATGGACGGACCCATGAATCTAATGGTTAAGGTTTTGTGTTGAGATATGGTGTCCGACCCACTCGTTACGGTTTGTCTAGGTTAGTTCATTAATGGTGGTCCCCCTCCTCCCTGAACTCGCCTCACATCTACGTGAGCAGTGTAGTTATTTTAACCATGGCGTAGTCAACACCAGCTATCTACCTTGCAAATTTGTGACAGTAACATCATTGATGGAACTTGATCTGTGGCTCGGTTGAGATGACTCTCCACTCAACACAAGCTGCTTCTGGATGAATGCAGGTTGCTGTGGAGGAGGAAAGTTAACGATCTCACTTTTAAGCATTGAAACCACAGTGGCCATGGTAGGCCTCTCCCTTGCAAGTTCTTGCACACAAAGAAGTCCAATGTGTATGCATCTCAAAATGTCATTGCCATGATCTGGATTAGATATATTTGGATCTATAAGAGATATAATCTCATCTTCATTCCATAGTTTCCATGCCTTCAAAAAATACAAGAATCAAAAGCAGCATATGAATTTTAAAGTTTATTATTTATTATTAGCAACTAGCAACAAGAAATAATATGGAGAGGCTTACATATCCTAAGAGGCTCAGTGACCGCTCGTGATTATAAAAACTTGTGTTTTTTCTACCACTAATTATCTCCAAGAGCAAAACTCCAAAGCTAAAGACATCTGATTTCTCTGAAAACAGCCCTTCCATTGCATATTCAGGGGACATGTAGCCACTGCATTTAAGTTTCAACATGAAGTTAATTATTTGGCTATTGTCAAGATAATATAACCTTGGATAAAAGGAAGGCACGCTTACTATGTTCCAACAACCCTTCTAGTATTGGCCTCATCTTCGCTGCCTCCAAAGATTTTGGCCATACCAAAGTCAGATATTTTTGGATTCAGTTCTCTATCCAACAAGATATTACTCGGCTTCAGGTCTCTATGAATTATTCTTAATCTAGAATCTCTATGGAGATAAAGCAAACCTCGAGAAATTCCTTCAATTATATTAAATCGTTTCTGCCAATCCAAAACCACCTTTTTGACTGGATCTGCAGAAACAATAAAAAATGAGGTCATCTTGAAGAAGCATTACTAAAAGAAGAAAAAATTATCTTTTGAACATTGAGTTAGTATTCAAGTGAAAAGCTAAATGATTTTCTTGTTTGTTTTCAGTTCATAGCGGACTTAGTATGAACCCCCTTATATGAAAAGATAAGAGCGAAGGAATTGCACACTAAGCAAAGTTGAAAGCATTAAAATTATATGATCTACAGAATAGATAGGAAATATCAAATTAAGGTGGACTAACCAAATAGATAAAAATCCAAACTCTTATTGGGCATGTACTCATAGATCAACATCTTTTCCTCTCCTTCAATACAGCAGCCTAGCAGTCTTACAAGGTTACGGTGTTGAAGTTTTGAAATCACAATTACTTCATTCATAAATTCTTCTAACCCTTGTCCAGATGCTCTTGAAAGTCTTTTCACTGCCACTTCTTGTCCATCTTGTAATTCTCCCTACAATAAAAGATTAAGAAAAATTTCAAAATGCACAGATTATTGATAGGATCAAACTTCACATGACTAAGGTACCTTATAAACTGAACCAAAACCACCCTGGCCAAGCTTGTTAGATGAATTGAAGTTATCTGTTGCAGTTGAAATATATCTAAAATCAAATACAGGCAGGTCCTGGAAATTTTTAACTCGTTTCAGCTCTTCACTAAGACCTCCAGTTCGGTTTTCTGGATGAGTTTCCCTTGTGTTCCGCAACATTCTTCTTGCTGATTGCAAGGATATGAACCAGAATCCAACCCAACAAGAGCCACGCGGTCCAGAAAAAATGAAATGAAGAAAAAATGCATTTAACTAGATTGTTTAAAATGAAGTCCAAAGATAAGTAATCAAGTAATAAAACAAGAATTTTTAAAATCATCAACAGGACAAGAACTGAACCGGCAAACATACCAGACCGCTTAGAAGTCCATGCCCATAAGAAATATGCACAAGTAGAAACAATCAGCGTTCCTACTATAACTGTAACTAGGATGATAACTTTCTTGTTTCTCTCTCTCTCCCCATCTGTATTAACAGCAATTAACAGATTCAGGAATCTGGATATTGGACTAGAAGTTGAAGAATAAACTATTTATAAAGATCAGGATTTTGAAACAAAATTATGTAGTTACCGAGTTCAGAATAAGCTAGGCGGATGTGAAGATCAACTCCTCCACTTTGGAACCTTTGTATGTCAATTAACTTTTCACTCCAAGACATACATCCAATGCCAGGATCATGTGCATATGCTTTACATGAGCAATTATTTAGGCAATCAGTTCTGCATGTCTCATCAGAAACAGTTGTCTGATCTGCAAAGTCTGGCACTTTAGACATCTCCAGTTTCAAAAATCCATCTTCTTTGCCTGCTTCACTCCCCTTTCTCACTCTCTTACACTGCAGTTCTGTCCTTCTCACACATCCACTAGTCCAGTTTTGTCTATTCCATTCATCAACATTTTTCGGCTCAAAACCTCTCAGACAGCTGCAGATTGGTGAATTTCTCGAATCACAGCTTCCGTAAGTGCCACAAAAGCCATAAACATCACAGTTACTTTCTTGGATTACCCGTTTCCCAACTAGTTGTCTGTTGATCCAGGCAGTGTATATCAGCTTGCCATCTGAACTCAAGACAATGGTTCCAAAGAAAGAATTATTTGGTAGAGAGTAAGTTATCTGAACAGTTCCATTTTCTTCTCTTTCTATGTTGAATCCATTCAGATATGCAGAAGTATACATCTTCGCCAAACCAATAAACACCTGACCGTTCCATGGACCAGACCGCCAGAATGGTTGTGTTTGATTCCAGATAAACACTTCAGGAACACTGAGGCGTTCAAGGCTTCCAGAGAAGTTTCCAGTGGCTGGATCAGAAGGGCTTTTCCATGAAGTAACTTTAACTTTCTCCCCTGTTATTTGGTTGGTGCTAAGTATCAAATTTGGAAGGAATGTATTGGAGGGATGTTTTAAACTCTCCCATATTATCATGCCTGTAGTGTCATCCAACAAGACAAGGTTTCCAGAATTTAGAAGTTGGGCAGTTGAATTGGATCCTACAGTTGAGACATTTGATGACCAAACAACCTGTTTTTTTGCATTCAATACTACAATGTTTCTGTTGTCAGATATGGTGACAATCCCAGAAGAATCTTGTAGTGGTTGTCCTCTGTTGGCCACCCATATGACATTGGATTCTGAGAGATACCATATTCCCACATAGCGATTTGTTGTGTTTTCGGGGCTGAAGAATCCTAGCTTGAATGCATTGTCATTAGAGCTTACAGTTTCTGGATCTTTGATGAACCGAGATGCTGTAATGGTGTCTAAGGCTGTGCCAAAATTTGTGTAAAAGCATGATAGAGTGAGAAAAACAGGTAACAAGTTTTCATGCGTGCTGAATCCCATGGCTTAAAGCAGTGATCAACTTTGGATTCTGATTCACTGATGTCTAATGTCATGGACTCATAACATCATTTAGAGCTGTTGTTAGAAAACAGAAATGAACAGACGACCACCCGTACAGACTTCTATGTACTTTGACTAGTACCAATACCTTCCTTCAAAGTTTATAGAGTTTTGTGTTGGGAAAAACTCGATTCTCTCAAGCTCGGCTCATGGGCCTTTGTGCGGAAGTCAATCAACAAGATCCTGATCTCAGATCTCAGCAATACCTCAGCCTGAACTTCACCAGGTCAGGCAGCGCAGCGGAAAAATCAAAACGAAAACAGAAGAGAGAAGAAGAACACAACCAGATTTAACGTGGGAAAACCTTCTCCTACGAAGAAGTAAAAAACCCACGGGACCTAGTCCAGATCAGAAATCCACTATGAAAATAATGGTTACAACGAATCAAATACACCAATGTGGTGGTTAACTCAACCTCTCCAACAATGGTGATAATCAAACTACCCTAGAGATGTTTCACTCAAACTCTCTCTAGAGATCTCTCAAATGCAAAGCATAAAGCTTTTGCTCAAACAATCAAATAATTCTCTCAAATTTGTTCTCTCAAATCTGACCTAGCCTCCACCCACAACTAATGAGTATATATAGAGGAGGTGGAAATTAGGGTTAGGGTTTTTTAGGAAACCCCTCAAATGGGCTTGGGCTTAGCATTGAAGGAGGAAGCCCAACAAATCTCCCCCTCCGACTTCAATGCGTCGGCTTCATCATCAACCCGGCTCCTTCACAGTATAATAGTCCATCTTAATTATTTAGTAAATCAATTGTAATTAAATAATTAAGCATGTTTTAGTGAGTAAGATTAAGTATAAGGCTTAATTAGATGAACCCGAGTCACTTTGGAGTTAAAAAGTGTATTCAGTGAAAATTAAGGGGTATAAATGGGTACTGGCGAAAGTGCCCAAAATATAAAAATAAAATTATAAATATTCCTAGAATAATATTCCAGACTTTTGGGTAAAGTCTGGTAATTATTGGAGTTAAATAGATAGACGAACCAATACCCACTTGATTCCACTTAACTAATGTTAAGTGGCCAAAGCAAATAGAAACCCATTTCCCACCCCATTTTCCCGTCGCCAGCATCAGAGAAAAGAAGAAAGGAAGAAGAAGGAGAAGGAGGGAAAGGGAGGAAGAGAGAGAGAGAGAGAGAGCTAATCTCAACCATTTTGAGTGATTCCAAAGCCTAAACCACTCCAAATCTTCCCCTCTTTCATAATCCTAGCTTGGTTTTGAGTGGGGAGCATTGTGGAGAGGGATATTGTTCCTCAAAAATTCGGCCCTTTGGAGAAATTTGGGGTTTTGAGTGTTTCTACCTCCATTGAAGCTTGAGGAGCCATCAATCCTTGGTTGTGTGACCATTGGTGGTAAGATTCTAACCCTTGAACCTCATGATTCTTTGAAATTTGCATGAGTTAGGGTTTGTGAATAGTAAATTGGGATTTTTATGAAATGTGGTTGAATTAGCTATGTTCTAGGAAGAATGGAGCTTAGAGCATGTTATGGAAAATGCTAGGAATGTCATTTAATCGGTGGAAATGAGCCTAGATAGTCATTTGATAATTGTTCATAATATTGGAAAATTCATGCTTGGATTGGTTAGTATTCTAGCATGTTGAACAATTAGTGAGTTGAATGATTGATTGGATCCTTGTGATGTCTAGGATTGAGACATTTGGACCAACCGTGAGTGATCAACCATTGGAGCAAGCTATGGAGCTTGAATAGCTCATTGGAATTGGTAAGCACATACTTGTGTTGTGTTTCGAATTGAGTAATTGATGGTTGATTGTGAAATACTCTTGGATGCAATATGTTAATTGCATTACCCTTGTATAGGTGTATGTTTGTAAAAGTTGATTGTTGAAACTGTTGGTGAAGAACAAAGGTCGACTGAAGCATTGAGGTAAGCCTTCGGACCTTGGGTGTAATTCCCTTGACTGTTCTACCAAGCCCTGAAAGGGTAGAGGTTGTGATTGTGTATATAAATGCAATAAAATAGTGTAATGCTTTGTTATACGTATGTGTATGCATTTGGTGTGGCATAGGATGGTGTTTCCCTATGTTGGTATGTTGCATGACGATGCGTAAATCATACTTGGTAGTTAGCTGGCCAGTAGGACTATTTGCATCTGAGTTTCCTTAGGACAGCTTGAGAGCTCGAGGGATTTCTCCTGGAGATGTATTGCACTTTGCATAGATATGTATTTACTGCATTATTATTGTTATTGCTATTACACTGATATGGAACTGTGGGGTGGAGAGATGCTCCAAGGACCCCTGGTTTACTGGATATATTCGTATATCTCACCCCGTGTTGTGGGGACCCCCTTTCAGGTAAGGATGCTGCAGGAGCCTCTGGTGGCAAGTGGCCATATCTGGATTATGCATGAAATGTGGCATTTCTTTTGAGATTGTACATGTTGTTTTGTAGCTCACATGTATATGATTGTAATTCATAGACCATTGATAGATGTATGAATTGTATATTGGAATGGACTTAGCCTATGCTCATGCCTTTGGTCATCTCTTTTGTTGATGAGAGCCAAGGGAATGATCATAGTGTTTTGTAAGCTAAGTTCCATGAATTGTAATGAACATGATGTGTAATTGATGAGTACTTTGAGTTTAATATATGTATGTTCATTAAGTATTGGATTGTTGAACTGGAAACTAAATTAGGTACCTAGTGCTAAATTGGGAAATGTTGAGAAAACAAATACATCCTGTCCGTTTGACCAATTTTCATACCCAATGTGATGGAATTGGACTTTGATGTCTCTATGGAAGTGGTATACATTCCTCTTAGCTTTCCATAGAGACCAAAATGGTGTAATTTGAGTGAGTATAGCTCAAATTATGAGTGGAAAACCATAGGTAGGTTAAATGACCTTGTTTTGGGTCACCCAGCCCTGTGGATGGCGCCTGGGGCGCCAAATTCACGCTTGGGGCGCCAAATTATGAGATCAGACAGTAGCATCCACGCTTGGGGCGCCAGATTCACGCTTGGGGCGCCAACTTTCTGTTTTCCCACGCTCTGAGCGTGGATCTCACGCTGCGGGCGCGGGGGTTCTGGAGGTTTCACACCCTTTTCTTAAAAAGTGCATAACTTTGGCTACGGTGCTCCGATTTGAGTGCGGTTTGAACCCACACGTAGCTAATGAAAAATAATATAACATAGTAGAAGATGGGAATCATAAAAGGAGTTTAGAATTAATTTGATAAGTAAAGTGATGAAGACATTTCACGACGTATTGTCAAGTATAATGGGAATATGATCTTAAGTTTTGTCCCACTATTCCGCGAAGTATATATAGTTATGATCACGCACTTGGTTATTTGAATCCGGCTTGTATAAAGAGGAAAAATTTATCCGGTTTTCTAATTGAACCAATGTGATTGTAACTGCGCTTAATGTCGTACGCAATGATAACAATCCGGTTCTAGAACGGGGTGTTACACACAGCAGTCTTCAAATTTTCTTACTGGAACCGGCTTTGTCATCATGTCGGACCAATTTTGGTCAGTGTGCACCTTGACGAGTTCGAGCTCACCACCTTCCACCACATCCCGGATCCAGTGATACCTCACATCAATATGCTTAGTGCGGGAATGATAGGTTGAATTCTTCGCAAGATGGATTGCGCTTTGATTGTCACAACCCAGCTCGTACTTGTCTTGATCATGGCCGAGTTCCATGAGGAACTTCTTCATCCACAGCATCTCTTTGCTTGCCTCAGTAGCGGTAATGTACTCAGCCTCAGTTGTAGATAGTGCAACACATTTCTGAAGTCTTGATTGCCAAGAGACAGCTCCTCCGGCAAATCTCATCAAATATCCTGTAGTCGACTTCCTCGAGTCGGCGTCTCCCCCTAAATTAGAATCCGAGTATCCTTGCAACTCGGCTTTGCCTTCTCCAAATCGGAGACATAAGTCGGTCGTACCTCGGAGGTACTTGAAGATCCACTTCACTGCTTCTCAGTGCTCTTTGCCGGGGTTTGACAAATACTGGCTTACCATTCCAACAGCATATGCCAAGTCGGGTCTAGTGCAAACCATTGCATACATCAAGCTTCCGACGGCGGATTGGTACGGGACCTTCATCATTTCATCTTTGTCTTCATCAGATCTCGGACATTGCTTCTGGTTTAGCTTTATGTGTCCGGCTAGGGGGGTGCTCACTGTTTTGGCTTTGTCCATGCTAAATCTCTTCAAAATCTTCTCAATATATTTCTCTTGACTCAGCCACAGTAGCTTCTTCTGTCTATCTCGGATAATCTTTATTCCGAGAATCTGTTTTGCAGGGCCGAGGTCCTTCATTGCGAAGGACGAGCTCAACGCCTTTTTCAGGGCTGCTATCCTCGATTTATCTTTCCCTACAATAAGCATGTCGTCAACATATAACAACAAAATCAGAAAATCTCCGGCCTCATACCTCTTCACAAATACGCAGTGGTCGGCATCTGTCTTTTCAAACTTATGATCACTCATGAATGATTCAAATTTCTTGTACCACTGCCGAGGTGCTTGCTTCAAGCCATAGAGACTCTTCTTCAACCGACATACCATGTCTTCTTGGTCTGAAGCTTGGAACCCTTCTGGTTGCTCCATATATATCTCTTCTTCTAAATCACCGTGAAGAAATGCCGTCTTTACGTCCATTTGTTCTACCTCGAGGTCCATTGAAGCCGCCATGGCTAATACGGTTCGGACCGAGGTCATTTTCACCACAGGAGAAAAAATCTCCTCAAAGTCTACTCCTTTCTTCTGATTGCAGCCTTTCACTACAATCCGAGCTTTGTATCTCGGCTTTTGCCCGTTCTCTTCATTCTTAATCTTGTAGACCCATTTGTTTTTCAGAGCTCGTCTTCCTTTTGGCAACTCAGTCAGCTCATAAGTTTGATTCTCGTGCAGAGACTTCATCTCATCTTGCATTGCCTTTT